AAAAGGCAAGTGAGAGCAGGAGAGCAATGTCTGATGAACAAACCTGGAGCCGGGTGAGCTGACTTCTGTTTGCCCAAAGCACCAAAGACTGCGGACCCCACAGTGGCTGTAAAGGGTTAATGGTTACTGCAGGGAGGAGGGTGGGAAGGAGGCCCCCAGAATAAAACCTTGACTCCTGTAGGATTTCTCAAGGAATTCTGACTTTACAGGTGCAGAGACTAGGTGGGTTTTTTTGGTTGGTTGGTGGGGACTTTGAAGCTTTTCTTCTTTGTTTTTGTTTTGCCAGCAAAGTATGAACCCCTCAGGCAAGTTCACTGCCTTAGTCCTACGTAATGAATAATGTCCAGCATACTCACCCTAACCCAATACATGCTAATCATGCTCTGCACTTACCAAAAATGGCTCTGACCTTTCTTTTGCTTGAGCAAAGAGGAAAAATCCCACAATGATTTGATTGTCAAAATTAAAAAAAAAAAAAAGAGGGCAGTTCTTGGCAATGTATTTGAGTAGCAAGGAGCAAGTGCATGAAAGCTCTAAAGTGTCCCCAAGTGGCAGAAGGAAAAAACTGTCATTCCATCCTGGATATTTAGACTGGTCCATCTTTAGAGATGCTAACCTTCTAGATTTATAAAACCAAACAAACAAGGTGTGAAACTCTCAGGTTATCAGCCCCATGCCACTTCTCCCTACCCCCCACAATCCAATGACTTTTTTTGGTTAGTGTATAGAGTTAAACAACTATCACATGTTTTAGAAAATGTCCATTACCCTCCACCCCACCCCACCCCGCCCTGCCCCCGCCCCATCCTAATGCAGGGGGGACTACCTACAGCCTACCACCTCCAGCAAGGAGAGGGCACAGCTCCCCTTAAGAACTGGGTAGAGAATTTTAATCCATCTTGTCAAGGAGTGTCCCCTGCACCTGGCACCCCTGGGATATATGCCCTTGCTTTGCCCTGCCTTCAGTGTGCAAGAGAGACAGCTGGATGCTATGAGGGCCTTCAAGTGAACTAAGGGCAGCTTGAGGGCCACTTCTGAGTTAAGGCTTTTTCCAGGCTAATTCCACTCCTAATTCCATTTCCTCCTAAGTTCTTGTTTTTGTGTTTAGCTTACTGTTCCTACTGTTCTTTTGTTTTGTTTTGACCTTTCTGTAAGTTTTTTAAGGTTGGGGGACTTAGGGGTTCTCTCTCCCTCTCTCCCCCTCTTTTCTTTTTCCTTCTCTCTTTTATTTTTGAAGATTCAGGAAATTTCTGCAGAGACATTTTTCTAAACCCAGCGCAAACTCATCCTACTCTGTAAATTCAGAACTTGTGATCACAGGGGCGAGCTTGGCAGGAAAGGATAAGACACTGAACTGGCAGGGAATTGGCGGGGGGAGGGTGTCCTCCAGCTGGAGAACAGCCTTCTTAGCAAACACGTGAGATCACCGCTATCCTAGAGTTCAAGGTGTGATCTAAACAGAAATGGTACAGCTGCTCCCTGCTACTAAAAAGGTGGAGAGAGGGAGAAAGAAAGAAAAACACATAGAGAAGGAGGAAGAGATTAAAACAACAGCAGGGCAAAAGCCAGAAATGTGACAAGAAGGCAAAAAAAAAAAAAAAAAAAATGCCGTGAAAGTGAGAACACCTAGGAGAAGGGGAGGGGAGTGCAGACAAAAGGAGGTGACTAGAAAGGGTGGGGGAGGCAGCAGTGAGGGAACAGAAACGGAGGAAGGAGACTAAAGTACAGGGAGTCACAGAATATACACAGAAGGAGAGGAAGGTGGTCGCTGAGGACCAGGACATCAAAGCCCCGAGTCTCCGGGATGATGTGCTCCCCTCCCCAAGTTATAATCTGGCCCGGAGCACTGAGCCAGGAGCAAAATTCCCCAACAGCAGAACCTACCTCTGATGCAAAGGCGGCCAGCTCTCCACCCCTCTCCTTAGGGATGATCAGGCAGGAGGACTATCCCACATCTCAGCTGAGCCTGACAGATCCAGGAAGGCATTTGGGAGCTCCTGCCGGCGAGTCAGGTGTAACGGAGGCCTGACCCTTGCCTTTGCTGGCAGCTGGGAAATCGCCACCCCAGCCGTCTCAGGCAGCACAGAATGCGTCTTCTCTCGATGCTCGATGCTCGGGGCACAAAATCCACACAAAGAGGCTCAGAGCCAGAGGGATCGCTTGGCAAAATCCTTCACAGAAAGTAGGTCAGGTCACAGCCTCTCCGTGTTTCTTCGATGTCTTGAGAAGAGCCACCTATGAGATTGCTAGGAACAGAGCTAAATAATTCCCCCGGAGGAAGAAGTGTCATTTCTCTCGGTCTCTCTGAGAGCAGGGAGGAGCCTCTCTCTGAGGAGATGGCAGTTCCATGATACTGTCATGGACTAAAACTGTCAGGACTCTCGGCAAGGCCCAGCCTGGCCGCCTCTTGAGGAGCATGTCCCCTCCAGGTCTCCCTTTGTCATTTTGAAAAAGATAATATTGACACTGGTTTAACTGGCAGTTGCTTAGCATTCAAATTTCTGAAGAATCAGGGGTGAGATGAGGCAGCTTCGATGACTGGATGGGGAAATCAGGAAGAAAGGTCCAGGGAGAAAGTTTGGGGGAACTGCTTCCCCCCCCCCATTTTCCAAAGGTCACACATCCTACTGGTCATTACCAGCCCCTAAAGCGCTATGTAGGAGGTGTTCCCATTTCAGAAGCTGGGAATATGTAGTCTCCTGTTCTCCCTTGCTGCCCAAATCAGAAGATGGAGAGAACAGTCTGGAAGGTTGCTATGGCAACCAGAGTCCCTGGAGAGCCCAGCTCTCCACAAACCCTTTACTTTCAGGCATGCTCTGACTTGAAAAGGAAATGTTTGATTAGGGATGGTGATGAGGATGATCACATACACACATATAAAGACACATGCAGACATGTTCCAACATTTACCCTCGCTGAAAGCATCCCCATTACCTCTGTAGCGGGCCCTTCTCCTTTCCCCAAATAGCCAGAAGTAACTGAAGGCATTTGGAAAACCAGAACTTTATGGCCTCGGAGCAGATTTCTGAATCATGAACTCCTCTTATCTGTATTTCAGGTTTGGAGAAGCCAAGCTCCCCATCAAGGCTGCCTCTGGCCCTGGCAAGATCCCACTGGACCTGTCTAAAGAGCATCCTCCTTGCTGAAGTGTAAGAAGAGAGACTGAGGCCCAGCTCAAGAGGCTAAACAGGGACTTAAAGAGCCAATAGCCCAGGGTAGCCTACTCTTGGGCTTTGGATCTTGGGCAAAACCTGCAGAGAGGTTTTGCCTCTGGGAGATAGGAAAACAGGCTATAATGAACTAAAAACTGAAGTCCCTTACTAAGATTCACACATTTGCATAGCATCATCCCCAGCTTCCCAGATGAGTTCATCGACATTCCCCACGAGGTAGGGAGGGGAAGACATTAATGTTCCCATTTAATGGGTGGGGAAACTGAGGCACGGAGAGGAACTGTGGCGCCCAAGTTACCCTGTCAGGCTGTGGCAAAATCCAGATTTAGATCTGGCCCTTACAGGAGCCACAGTGTCTCTCAAGAAAACCCTCAAAATGCCTCATAAGTTGCTCCTTGAGAAAATAATTTTTTAAGAGACATTCTCATCAAAGAGTCTTAAAGCATAGATATAAAATTTAAAACATGTTAACAGTCCTTTCGGTTTCTGAACTGCACCCAGAAGAGCTCAGAACAGTACATCACAGTTTTTCAAGGCAACAAACAAATGACAATGTTACCAGGAGAGAAATGAGGGGAAGTGGGCAGGTGGGACGAAGGCAGCAGTTTCACGCTGGAAAAGGATGGCTTATCCGGTGGTAAAACCGCCACATTACCTTACCAGTTAGAGCAGGTCAGCTGCAGCTCCAAGGGGCAGAGCAGGGGAATGTTTGCTTGACTCAGCAAAAAAACCTCTAACAGTGAGGCTGTCAACAAAGGAATGATGTTTCTTCCTTACTCTAAACCTATTTCATTGCCCCTAAAATGGGAAGAACCCCACGCTAACATCCAATGGATGCTTTTACCTGTCTGCAGGTTGAAGCTAGAGTTTGCTTTGGAAAACCTTCAACTGCAATCCTCAGTCAAATTCCCAGGAAGAAGGGTGGGGGGCCTGAGAGGGTTGGGGGTAATTGTGGGAGAGAAATTTCCCGTCTGCAACAAGGTTCCTCTTTGCACGCCTCCCAGATGACAATATCTGCTTAAGTGATACCTCTCTTTAGATAATTCGGTCAGGCTAGTTGCTTGACTCTATTCAGCCATTTCTCCTGGCTCTGTGGTTCCCTCTTTCCAGTTCCTCTGCACAGGAAGGCACTTGCACAAAAAGAGTATTTGGCTCTGAGAAGGAACCTTCCTGGAAGCTAGAGAATCAAGGAGGGAAGAATTGAATGTAGACCAAAGGCTGATACCCACTGTGCCAGGACACACCTGGAGGAATCCTTTGGCCCCTTTGGTCTGGGACTGACTCTAATGTCCTCCAAATGGCTAAGTTTAAATGCAGTTTCTCTAATTCCTTCCAAGATTCGAGATGAATAACAGATTTGGAGGCTGGGCAGCTAAAGGCTCTACCAGGGGTCTTCTGCAGGATGACCAGTAGATGTTACAGGGCACGGGAATAAAACAGAAAGATGAACACTGTTTCTGTCTTCCAGCTTCTGCTAGTTGCCATGTAGCCAAAAGCTGACAGGTGTATGCCCCAAAGCAAAGGACACCAAGGAGAGAAATAGGACCCAGGTATGCCTGGTTTCCATCCTGTTGACATCTCTGTTCCTAGAGATATTACAAGCCCCAGACATGAAAATTTAGAGTCATGAGGGAAGGTCAGACGGAAATCTCATCCATGTGACAGAAGATGGGCATGAATGGGTGGCACCGTTAGAATTTCAAGAATGTCATTTAGATGGATAAACCTTGAATGCTGGAGAGATCAAGCAACAAGGTTGACAGTCCAGGTATCTGGACCCAGTGCAGGGGAGGGAATCAGGCATTTGTCTGGAGCTCGGGTGAAGGGAGTGGAGAATGAGAAGGAAGCCTGAGGCTGTTTGCTCAGGGTCGTCCTTTTCATTCACGCCCTGCCTGCATCTGTCAAACCTCAGTGAGCATCCTTTTCTCTGCATATGCCCGATGTGGAGGAGGAAGGTAGCTGGGTCTCCGCTCCCGAGCGGTCTCGGAGAATTCAGGCTTGCCAAGTCCACTGTCGGCTGCCTTCAGGTCTGGTGCAGGCTGCCCACAAGTGACATGGGTATACTGGCCTTGCTCCTCCTGCTCCGTCTCCCGGTGATAGAAGTAGTTGAAGTTGGAGACAATGACGGGCACAGGCAGGGCGATGGTGAGGACCCCAGCGATGGCACACAGCGAGCCCACGATCTTGCCCCCCACCGTCATGGGGTACATGTCTCCGTAACCTACCGTGGTCATTGTAACCACTGCCCACCAGAAGGCATCTGGGATGCTGGGAAAGAGTGAATCATCATCGTCGGCCTCTGCGAAGTAGACGGCACTGGAGAAGAGGATGACCCCGATGAAGAGGAAGAAGATGAGCAGGCCCAGCTCCCGCATGGAGGCCTGCAAGGTCTTGCCCAGGATCTGGAGCCCCTTGGAGTGGCGGGAGAGCTTGAAGATGCGGAACACCCGGACCAGGCGGATCACTCTGAGGATGGCCAGGGACATGGCCTGCTGCCCGTTCTGGCCGCCACCTCCACTGGCCGACTGCTGCTCCTGCTGCTGTACCAGCTCAGTGCCCAGGGTGATGAAGTAGGGGAAGATGGCCACCAAGTCAATGATGTTCATGATGTTGCGGAAGAAGGCTGGCTTGCTGGGGCAGGCAGAAAAGCGAACCAGGAGCTCAAAAGTGAACCAAACTATGCACAGGGTCTCCACCAGAAAGAATGGGTCAGTAAAGAAAGAGCCTCCAAGAGTACTTAGTGAGGATGAGCCACCTGCCACCATGCCCCCGGGGGGGAGGCCAGGATGAAAGGTATAGGAATCCTCTTCATCTTCGTCTTCCTCTTGACTACCCCTGGAAATTGGGGAGTCTCTGCTCACACCATTGCTTCCACCTCGACCATCTGCACGGAACTGGGGCAAGGTCTCCAAGCAAAAGATGACGATGGAGATGAGAATGACCAACACGGAGACGATGGCGATGCCCCTGGCGGGGCCTGAGCTCTCAGGGTACTCGAAGAGAAGCCAGACCTGGCGCTGGAAGGGCTGGGAGGGCAGTGGCTTCTCGTCCTCGCCACCTTCGGGCAGGCAGCCCTCGTCCTCCCGGAAGGCCGCCAGGGCCTCGTCCCCCAGCTGGTAGAAGCGGATCTCCTCCAGGAAGATGTCCAGGGGCACGTTGACCGGCCTCCGCAGGCGGCCCCCGGACTGGTAGTAGTAGAGGATGGCGTCGAAGCTGGGCCGGTTGCGGTCGAAGAAGTACTCGTTCCGCAGGGGGTCGAAGAAGCGGACTCTGCGACCGGGGTCTCCCAGCAGCGTGTCGGGAAACAGCGACAGGGTGCGCAGTTGCGTCTCGAAGCGCAGCCCGGAGATATTGATCACCAGGCGCTCGCTACTACAGCAGCCCCCGCCCCCGCCGGCCTCCGGGAAATCTCCCGCATCCTGTTGCTCCCCCTCCGGCCCACGGACCTCCCCCGGCGCCGCCAGCGTCAGGGATTTCTCCGACCTCATGTCCCCTCCGCGGTGCGCTCCCCGCCACTAGGACGGCGCCCACGACACAACCTCTGGAGCGCGGCACCTCCGTGTAGGGTGGGGCTCGCGCTCCTCCGAGCTCGCGGTCTGGCCTGGCCGCTGGGTCTGTGAGCCCCGAAGCCCCGGTCTCTGCAAGGCTAGGTCTGGAGAGGGGACCCGGACGCAGAGGATTTCGCCCCGCGCCTCCAGATATCCGCGCTTGGGTGCCACAGCTTACTGGGATACCTGGAACCGCAAACTGGCGCGTGTGAAACGGGCTGCCCGAAAAGACGCGTGGCTTCGCCCCCTGCCGTGCCTGAGACTGGGCTCCAGGACGCGGGGGTCCGGCCTCCGGAGGGTTAGCTCTTCCCGGCTCCCAATGCGTTTCTCCAGCCGCTCAAGCCCCCGGCAGCCGCTGGGAGCGAAGCGCCAGATGCGCCTCCCTCCGGCTCGGCAGAGACTCCTGGCGGGGCTCGGCCTCCGCCCTACGTGCACCGCGGGCTCCGTCTGGCCAAGGTCGCCGTTCCCGCCGCCACAGCCGCCACCTCCTCCCTGTGAGTCGCGCCGCAGGCCTCGCAGAGGGCCCTGCGGCTGCCCCGGCGCCAGGGCGCGGGGACCCACCTCCCCACCGCTCAAGCCTTCGCTGCAGCCGCGGCAGTTGCAGCGGCAACGGCTCGGCTCTCCGCTCTGCCCTTCCTTCCCAACACTCACTCTCCAAGTGACGTGGCAGGCCCCGCCTGCTGCCCCCTCCCACCCCACTCTCACATCACACCCCTCGCCCAGCCAGGGGCTGCCGCGAGCCAGGGCGCTGTGGAAATAGACACACACTTGCCTCACCAGTAATCTTTCCCGCGCTCGCCTGGCACGCCTCTCCCTTGCTCGCATTCACAATCGCGGCCCCCTAAACAAGCACCAGCACCCTAATACCACACCCCCTCCACCTCCGCAATCAGCTTTCCTCATTTCAGTTTACAGGAGGTGATCTGCGCAGTGCATTTCACCGATGAGAAAACACACCCCGCCCCACCATACAACACAACACGGAGCACTGTACCTCCACTCATCCAGAAATCTAATGAAAAAATCGAATCATATTTTGTCCCTCGATATTTACGAAGACCCATTTGCCAGCTTCCTTAATCTACTTGAGAGAGAGAGAGAGAGAGAGAGAGAGAGAGAGAAAGCATCTGTAGAAGTCTTCAGAGCTTCCAATTTAGATAGTATTCCAGTGTAAGTCCCCAGAGAATCCATACCTCCCTTTGCGAACCTAGAAGGGCAAGGCTGCAACTGTCCTAGAGTAGCAAAGTTGGTAGCAGAGAAGGGGCTGGGAAGTCTCCCATTGCTTTTTGCGTCAGAAGTTTTCCAGGGGAGTTCTGGGAACTTAGGCAGCAGCCCCAGTGAAGAAAGAACCAGAAGATGGTGGTATCTCAGAGGTATCCTGGTTCAGGGAAGCACACCCTGGAATTCATTTGCTCCCAGCCTCCCTGGGAGCTCATAGGGGAATGCCTTCTTACTGCACAGGCAAGAAAAGAGAGGAGGGGATGAGTGGGAAGTGGTATGTAAAAATGTTGAAAAGAAAAATAATGGCTACATTTACTGAGCATCTAATCTGTGCTGGCTGCATTCCAGGTGCTCTACCTGTGCTATGTCACTCACAGCCCCGTCTGCCCCACAACCCTATGAGAAAGATGGCCCCTGCTCTTAGGTAATGTTACAGTGAAGACTCGCCTGGCAGTATTTGGGTAGGGACCAAAGTTTGATGTTAGGGACTCTTGCCCTAACTCTCTAGGAGGGAAGCAGTAAGAATGGTTTTCTATCCATTTCCACTGGAAACCATATAGTCTTTCTTTACTAGACCAGACAGGTTAGAGTTTGGTGGAAGAGGATTGCTCTGATTTTTTCAGACTGCCACTTCCAGGTATGGTTGGCATTTGCTTCTCTTTGCCCCAGTTTCTCCCTTCCTGGTTGTCTGTGGCCAAAATTAATTGACTGATGACTACAAGTTGTTTTGTGTAGCTTCTTGTTCATTTTATATCATTGCTGATAATGACAGGAATGATACATAAAGGTAATCTCAAACCACAAGATACAAGCAAGAATTCTTTGTATTGCACAGTGTTTTAAAACCACAGTGGTTCGCAGCAGCATTCACTGCCGGAGGGGTTGGGGGGAGTAGAGACGAAGTCTTCTAGATGTGTAGGGCAGAGGTCAGGTAGTGAATGCATAGGAGAGAAGCTAGCATCTCGTTGCATCTTCATTCTCTGGGCTGTTGCTTCAAGAGGTGCAGCCAGACTCTGCTTCCTCTCTGTGCCTGTGCTGTTAGTTTCCACTTCCTCCCTTCACCTTGCATGCTTCGGTGAAAGGTGAGAAAGCAATTGCACCCAGTCACCCAGTCCACAGTTTCCCTATTTACAGGCTATGTAATTAAGCAATTTAGACTTCATGCAAGTTGCTCCATTCAAAAAAATAAAAAAAAGTAAAAGAGAAGAAAAGGAAACAACAACAGACACAATACAGAAGATACTCTTTCACCCTTGTCCAATTATCTGCAATTATTTTCTGGATTATAAATTAATTTACTCTTTTTGTCCTTGTTTTCAAAATTTATAATGAATTATTCATTTCATGTTTGTTTTCATCATTGCTGTTTTTATTCATGAGGCTGTCAACTAGGTCAGTAACTCTTCAAAACAAATGCTGGGGAAGCATGGGAAAAAAAACCCTGCATTCTGCCAGAAGGCTGCACAGTCTAACATGGTAAAAGGAATCACCATTTGAGTACCCCTGGGTTAAGTCTGGCTGGTGCTGCCCTCCAGCCTACATCAGAGCTGACGTTCCTGGTTACCTTCACATCAGGCATGAGGCTGTGCCCCAGGAGATGTCTCACTGTGCACGAGGAGGTTCCCCCTGAGAGAAAAGTCATTAGCAAATTCATGAATCAGAGTTCTGTTTTTAGTTCTTTTGTGAAAGAGACTCATTTCTTAGCTTTAGAAAATCCGTATACTTAGATCATTCTTCTCTAGCATATATGAAGAGTGAGTAAAATTACACCTTCAGAAGTGCCGGTTCCCAGGTGAAGAAAGACAAAAGGCACAACCCCATCCATACACTGCAACACCACTTCCAGTGACAGGTGAACATTTCCCCCACATTCACTGAGCACCGATTTCATGACAGCACAGATTTTTCTTGTGCCTAAATTCAGATATTTGCAATGATGCTAGGGGCCATTCACAGAATTAACAAGCATTTATTGAGAAGCAGCTGGGTGCCCATCATACTGGCAGGTGCTAGGGGTTTAGAAGTGATCTAGACAAAATATCTGTTTTCGTGAGCTTACATGTCTGTGCGGTAAATGCATTACATTCTAGACAGAAGATTTTGACAGTAAACAACAAAGAAGAAATTTATATATTATAGTAAATGCTTTGAGAAACTAAATGGGATGCTATGTCAGAAATCAACCTGAGGATTCAACTTTGAACAGGGTGGTTGGGAAAGATGCCCCAGAAGAGATAATGTGGGATGGCTGTCAAGCAGAGAGGAGACATGATTTGCATAGAGGCTATGAAGAGAATGCATTACAAGGGGGCAAAAGGAAAATGGGCCAGGAAATTGCAGTAGTCTGGGAAAAGGTTGATAGTGACTGGGACTGGACTAAAGGTAAAGCAAGTAGGGATAGAGTGGGGATGAGGTGGGGGCGGGGGGAGATTTAAGAGAATCAGCGGGAATTGGTGATGGATAGGACATGAGAAACAATCAAAGAATGCCAGGTTTGGGGTTTGAGCAACGGGGAGAGAGGTGTCATTTATTAAGAAAGGGAATATAAGGAATTAAACAGGTTGGGATCAGGGGTGCCTGGGTTGCTCAGTTGGTTGAGCATTGGGCTTCCTGCTCAACGGGGAATCTGCTTCTCCCTCTCCCTCTGCTCCTCCCCCCACTTGAGTTTGCACTCTCTCTCTCTTTCTCTCATGCTCTCTCTCTCTCAAATACATAAAATCTTTAAAAAAATAAATAAACAGGTTAGGATCAATCAAGACCTCATGGTCAGAAATGTTAAATTGGAGAGGTAAATTAAACATGCAGATAAAGACATTGAGAAGTGGTTATTTATTCAGGCCTGGAATATGGAAAAGAAATGAGTGATTTGTGAATGTAAAATATTTAGAAATATTTAAGCCCATGGCACTGACATCTTCTAGAGAGACAGAACATGGACAATGAAGAGAAACATAACCAAGCCCAAGTCCTGCACGGTACTTTACAATTCACAGTTCAAGTTCAGGAAGAAGAGGAGCCAGCAAAGGAGACCAAGGGGCGGTCAGTGGGGTCAAAAGAAAACCAGAGAAGATGTTGTCCTGGATTCGCATCTTCACGGGGTCATGCTGACTTCCAAATGAGCACAATATCTGCATCAGATCAGGAGCACAGCGTGGGAAGAAAAAGGTCACAGTAGGGAGGAACCACCTGAAAATGGATGTATGTACTAACCAAGATGAGTACATAACAATGCGCCGCATAATTTGATAACCATTTATATTAGTGCCTCTGCCCTGGAGTTTAAAATGTACTCATCCCAGGTATGTAAATTAGCATTCTATCCTATTTTCCAGGCTTCTTTTATTACATTTTTTACTTTGTATATGTGTGTGTGCATACGCACATGCACGCACGTGTGTGCTTGTCATCACCCCAGCAGTGGGATCCTTGTGGTGTCTCTCTAGAGAGAGAGGACAGTGGTCATAGACTGGGCCTTGTTTCTCTGAATAATCTCAGGATGCTTCTTTTTACCTGCCTTATCACCCACAGGCCCCTGTGGGAGGAAAGAGTGGTAAGTGGTCAACACCCTCAGTTCCTACTTGAGTGCATAATGATACACACATCCTCCCTGAGAAGAATCAAGAAAAATCACCCCTTTCTTTGGCTCTGCTGGAGAAGACAAACCGTATGGAGACAGTTGGGGGCAGGGGTGATGCATCAGACACTGTGTCTCTCATCTTACTCTCTCACCTCTGGGCAAGGCTCACTGCCCCAATCCTTCCGTTCTTCAGGATGGCCAATGTGGAAG